ACCAAATTTTATCATGTTCAATACTGCTTTTTTTTTCATTCTTGGTCTTGAACTGACTAAACATAGCGCAGTAATGTGATTTTTCGACAAGCTCAATGAGAATGCTTCCTTTCTTCACTGTGTTTAACGTTCCGGCGGTTTTGTTTTCATCACAGTCACGATGAATCTACTTGAGTGCTCGCAGTAGTTGCTTTTCTTGCGATGCTTGTCTTCGTAGTCGTCGAAATGAAGCGAATTGACTAGAGTTCTACACGAACCAAGCAGCGTCTTCAACATTCTCCTTCTGATAGGACTTTAGTCGGGCTGAAATAATCTAACTTCACCCCGACAGTTTTTAGGGTACAGGAGGATAACAGTTGAGCGATGTTGCCCAAAATTGCTTACTGTACTGGCGGCAATCTCTCTTATCTCTGTCGCTTGCTATCTCGCTAACATAGAACGGATATAGAACTCTGATTGAAGGCCCTCATTTTTGATATTTTTTCTTCTCCGTAACAAGTATCATGCTTACAACTATTCGTGTAGAAATTGAGAACTTTCCTCAAAAAGTTCTTTGGCAGTCGACCTGATAATGACCTCTGTACAGTATTCTCTATGGAATATATGATATTTACTGCTCATGTGATATTCAATATTTATACTGGCGTATAGAATCTTATTGCCTTCGAAAATTTAAAACTAAAAAAGTCCGAGTTTTTGTCCATTTTCTATGTTACAGCTTTGTCAAGGTGTACACAACTTTTTGGTGCAATTTTCTTCTGATGTTTTGTATAACGGTAAATATTATTTTACAAAAAGGAGCAGTTGATGAAACTCGTTGTAGTCAGAAAATTGTACTATTATTTTTTTGTCTATTACGAAATTGTCATGGTGCATGATCATGGTACGATTTCAGTTTTAACCAGAATTGGAAGATTTGGCAAGTCGAGGCTTCATAAGCCGCGTTTTCGTAAAGTGACATGTTCGTCCGGTTGTTTGTGACTTTCAAGTTGTCATGAATAAGATCTCTCGATTTCAATTCTCCCAGTAGCACATTCCTCGCATAGCTATCAATTCTCTAAATGTTAAGGTGAAACAAATATGCATACTGGACGTTTTCGATAACGGCCGTACGAATAACTGCTGAGATCGTAAATGATCATCATACTTGTGTGGAAGATTACCTTGTGTTCCACTCAATACGTAGATTGCACTTCAACAAATAATGCTGAAATACATTTGTGACCTTGAAAACTTCTTTTCTGCATCGATCTTTTCAAACATACTCTTTCAACCACTGTTATGCCATTCCAGTTTATCGCAACTAGGGAAGCATCAGGAGGTGGAATTTTTTAGTGCGACTTTTTCACAATATAGTTGATATGCATGATATAAAAGCTGAATAAATGCGTAAAATTCTTTAAGTGATTCTTCAGAAAACACTCGATCAAAGAGGATGAGCGTGGAGTTTTGTATGAACGAGTTGTCGATCTTCAACAATCTGATTGAGGTCTGTAATAGGATTTGTGGAGCGCCGGACATTAAAAAGGTAGCACTGATTTCCCTCATCCAGGCACTTTCGCAGTCGACAAAACTTTCAAATAAGGGTGCTCTTTTAGAAAAACCTCTAGTGTCGTAGCAGTGATGCGGACGTGATACATGCAAAAAAGTCACTCTTGGGATTTTCTTCGTTTAAGCTGTTCCGTAGCATTAGAATTCTCCAAATAGGCATCGGGATAAATTTCGTTGAAGAAGACTTTTGATACAGAATGACATTGGTCGTACACATTTTTTATTCTATTTTCGTCTCCTTCAAAGAGATCACGAGGATTTTAACGTACCATATGGTCTCACAGAAAGTATAAAGAGCTGCATTTTGAGAGACTTCTTCTTCTTTAGCACATGTAAAGTACGGAAGTTTAGAATGGGTCGTCAAATCCCCATAATGTGTAGTTTTAGTTCCTTACAATAGCATTTTGTGCATTCAGATGATACGACTACTACTCTAAACGTGGCATGTGGTTTCTAGGTAGGAGAGCAGTCCACTTCTCTCGGAACGATGGAAACTGAAAGCCGAAGCTGACAAGGACGTATGTGCTTCAACAGCAAGGACTTGTATTAACTTGAAGGCGATATATTCAAAATGTACTGTTACTGATATACGGTGCTGGGGCGAGTCTAGACGTGACTGTTGCTAAAGCTGAACTCTAAGTTAGTTCGGTCTTTTTCATGTCTTCATAGCAATGGTAGGCTTGTCGACAAATGACCCAGAAGACAACATTAGCTTATGACTGTATGTATCGAATTTCGACTAAGCTGCTAGGTCGTCGTTGCTATGGAGTCGAAAGACGTGAGTCGTGTTGATCTCTTAGCAGACACAGCTCTCATCTCTAGGCACGATCTTCTCCAGAATATCACGCTCGATATGGAGTAAGCAGCAAGAGTTCGTGTATTTTGATCTGAGTAAACAGTAAGAGTTTGCGGTAGTCTATCGAAGTAAGCTGCTGATGGATGCTGATGTAAACAAAGTTGGGATAGTTTTTTAAGTTCCGTTTTTGAGTTGAAGTGTGGTTCAGCTTGATTTTGTAGGGTACCTTCCTCAAACGTGATCTATCAATAAGAGTAAGACTGATTTTGGCAAATGGTAATGTTGTCGTTAAAATGCTCAAACTTTATTGCAATAGTCTGCTCAATAATAGTACCAAATTCCGTGCCGCTTTAGTAATTTGAGCTTAACGTGATCGATTTCTTGGCAGTGGTTTTCTTTTCAATCGATTCCTCGAATTGCAGGATGCTCTATTGTGGGCGATCAAAAATTATTTCTAGTTTAAAGAGTTCTTGTTTTTCTCCTTTTCTTATATACTAATACAAAACTTTACAGGGAGATCTTTAGGCATTTCACTTAGCTGAGTGTTCTTCCTCTAAGTTTTTTCTCCTTTTTCGTCTGAATTTCTCTGAAACTTCCCTTTTATTTGCGCCTACTTCTTCCGCAAACTTTTGAATTACTGTGGGTGAATTTCTCCCAAACACTATCTAACGCAGTCATAGTCTATTCCATTATCATTATTTTTGTTGAAAATTATTCGAAAGTAACCCATATTCACTCAACGGAATCACCACTGCAGATGTCGGATACTTTGGCCCATTGATCTCACAGCGAGTTTATTGTATTTTCGATGACGCAAATTTTTGACTCAAAGGTTTCGAATGTGCTTTCAATACTCTTTTTCGACTTCGTCGTTGTAGTGATCTAACGAAATGATATGCAAATCAACCATCTGGAGGCTCCCCTGTGAACCAAGCAGAATTCCAGGGTGAATTTCGAAAAATTTCACTTCTAAGAGTACTCACACTGTCTGGTGGAGCTTGAAAACCTGGAGATATGTGAATATAGCTGATCAAATCAAAGATAAACTTTAATCTATTTGGTTATTGCGATAGATCTAGGTCGCGATAGTAGCATTAAGAAAGAATAAAGCTTTTGGCGCTGATCAATCCCTGAAGGATGCGCCATGCATTCGTCATCAAATTTTAACTTCGTTTGAGGCGATTGAATGCATACATGGGCCTTTACAATGACTCGCGGTGGCCTCCTGCTGTACCGAGTCAGTGCTGCTTATCCTCCCAGACAAGTCTGAGACCAGTCTGGTACCAATTTACCGACCCCTAGAGGGATGGATGGTTGGTGAGCCCTGAGCGCGAGATCCAATCATCGACCTCTTGTGCGACGCAGAGCATCTCTAACCACTGCGACACATGCGCTTACTAGTAGCATTATCTGGAAGAAATTACTTGCAAACAACGGCAGCAGCTGGCCACCGTTCCAAGGAGATCATCTATAGTGGAGATGGGCCTCTACGTTGACCAATCAGTAATGACAAGTCTTTGGAGTTTGTGAATAATTTCGCGTAACAAACCTAACTATTCTTGGCATTGGTCAAAAACGTTCTAAAGAAGTGATCTTGAGAAAATAGTAGGAGGTGCTGAAAGATTTTCCTTCAAGGCTGATAACCTTTCAATACTTGCAAATTTATAAGGATCAGTTTTCCAATGACTTTTTTATGTATTCAAAGCCAGTAGAGGATTTAGCTGAACTCCTCAGTAACTATTGTCGATCATAAAAATATCTAATGTATGAATCGTTTATAAGTTGTAACTGTAGAAATCGCTCGTTGACTTTTTTTGGACAATTTTCTTCGAGCGCTCACGCATGGCATAGCTGCCGTCGTGGATGCTGTTGTTCGTTGCAGTTCCACTTCACTCAATTCATGAAAATTCAAGCGTTTTTAGAAGCGTTTTACGTCGCACAATGGTCGTCAATGGACGTCTAAGTGGCCCCAACTCCACAATTATAATTTGTTTAGAAATTGTGCTCTTTTACACAACTCAACTTCGTAACTGCTCGTCGCCACTTTGATCGAGCAACGTTCGATTTTTTTTTTTACTTTTTTTCGTTTTCATAATGTTTTTACGTTTTCTGCCGTTGCAACAATACCACTGGCATACTGTATGATCTGTTTTCTTCTCGACATCTACAACTAGTGCTATTTATCTGCATGGCTTGAGATTATACCGCTAATATGGATAACACACGTTTAGGAAAAAGTCATCGATTATTAAGTATTTTTTGCTGCGGCATGTAGATACCGAAAAAAGTCATGTTCTATCAACATTCAAATGAATCGCAGAAAAACGCAGAAAAAAACTGATACCGCGAACGAAGTGATAATCGTCTATCTCGTTAATTTTTCAACCTTTTTACGACAATGGGCAGCAACAATTTTTTATACATGCGGCCATTTAAGGTGGCTTTTGAAAGCCATTTGTTCCATGCTCATCAAGACCTTTCCAAGGTTAATTCTTGCTTCGTGAGCTAGACATTAGAACGACGATTCTATGAAAATAGTTCTCACTCCTTCAAAACTGATTACTGACTCCAAATCTCTCATTTTTACTGCACTTTTTACAGTTTTATAAAGTTTCTAATATAATTAAGAGAATTGAGTGGTGAGCAAAAATACGATCTCAAACAGGAGTCGAACCTGCGTTTCATCAGTACCGGGGACGCGTGCTATCACTACACCACCGAGGTGCATTTGCACCAACACTCATTCTTCAATATCTGTATGTTATGAGTGATGGTGCGAATGTAGCTCGTTAGTGTAGTGGTAGCACACGTCCCCGATATGGACGAAACGCGGGTTCGACTCCCGTCTGAGGACGTATTTTTGCTCACCACTCAATTTTCTTTGATGACTGACTTCTAAATGATTACTGATTTCAGAGCGATCACCATCTGCACTGTAATCCGATCGTCGTGAAAGAATTAGATTAGCATCTTGAAAATGATTATTACATACGCGCCATCTTTCACGATCTTTTGGATTTCTCCTGGATAATCTAAAATTAAGAAATTTTTAGTACAATGGTCATGATTCGTCCTCTGCTGCTGCAAAGAGGCAATCAAATTCCTACGTACAGCATATAACAGCGACTTTACTTTCAATGACATTGACAAGTGGCTGTTGATCTCTCTTTATACGTGGGAGTAGCGAGTCATTTGCTGAATGTCCAGCAGCTCGATAAAGTTCATCAGCACGCTGTAGTTTATCTATCAGTTTCGTCAAGCAGATATTTGAGTGTTATTGTCGAGCACTAGGGGAAATATGAGTAACTGTCAATTGACTTTTCAGTGAGGTCCCCCGTTTTTTAATTAATCCCCATGCCTTCAGGAGTGACAAAGAATCTTCCCCACTCCTATTTAGCTGGATGAAAACTTGAGAGCTGAAACACTAAATTGTATTTCTTAGCGTCAATTCCTCTCTTTTCCAAGCTTCACCTCACTTTTCTTTCATTTCTGTGTACCGATGTCTTCTATATTGTTTTTGGATAAGCGCGCCGCCATCCCATTAGTGTTTAATGATTTTTCTTGCAATTAATATGTAATTTTGAATAATAATGTCGATCTAGAGGCCCTAATTTCCCGACATCGCCACTCATCTTTTGCGAGAAGCTTTTCTTCAACAACTTGGTCATTTATTTTTATTCGTTGTTCCTTAGGAACCTTGTAGAGCTGTGAAGTTCAACAAACAAGGAAGTCGTCAATCAAGAATTTTTGCATATTTCTTGCTATTTTGTTTGTCTCGTTCATAATAGAATAGTCTTTAAATGTCACATGGTGAAACATAAGCGTCGATTGTTTGTACTCTTTGATATAGATAGACCCCTTTTACGTACTCCCTGTCGCAGAATTATTTTATTGATGTTTTTTTATTGCTTTCGGTAAGATTAAGATGAGTGCCGACGATACTTTTCAAGATTCTTCCGCCATTTTGATGAACTTTACTTCTCATTCGCCTTAGCTTGCTTTTTTCTCTTCATAACTTTCATGGGTAGATTACTATTTGTAGAAGGCGTTTTTGTTTAAGACTGCAGTCAATCAATCTCAGTGATTATTGATACGATGTGTTACGAAGCAAAACAAGGCCCGGTTCAATCCCATACCTCAACACTTTCTTGCAGTCAATCATCAAACGCGTCAAGAAGTTCCTTAGCTTGGATACTTCGATTATTGCAAGAAGAATCATCTCAACCAGCATTCTGCGACATTCATAAAAAAGACGAAATCCTCAAATAGGAGCTGATACAGCATTCAGATACAGTGAAATATTCGAAGATCTTTGTGAAGGAGGAATGTGAGGAAACGAATCGAATTCAAGTTCAGTGATCTACAAAGTATATTGTGATGCTGGGGTCGTGTAGAAAAAATCTCCTTTCATACTGCACTGGCTTTCGGTAGAGCTTGGAAGCTCCAACTTTAGTAACTCTACTTTGAATTATTCTAGTCAGTAGTTCGAAAAAACAGCGAAGGCTTCTGATTGAAAGTGAATCTTGTTCTGGCAAAAGATTTTTATTTCAACTTTATGCGCATTAGTCGCATTTTTTGAAAAGAGACTTTTGCCTTATTTGTGAATGAATCACTAGCTCATCACGTGGATGTCGTAGTGAATTTGCCTTATTAAAATTTAACGACGATGTCGTGGTTGGAATACTCACGGAGGAAGTTCAAAAATTAAGATTAGACTTAGATATTTATGGAAACGAGTTCCAACTAAGGACCATTCTGACGTCATTCTGCATTGTTTTCGTATAATAAGAAGGTGGAAATGCCTTCACACTTTAATTTATTTCTTCATTTTTCAATTTTTAGTTCATTCGTACATTACGACAACTATTTGTGATGGTCCTCTTTGTTTAACTAGATTTCTCCTAATTTGCACAACTTATCATCACTAGCAGACGGCAAACTTCAAATCAGCTTACATTTAGCTAGTTTTTTGCTAACTGAGCTACATATTCTTCTCCTTAAAAGCCGTGCTGGAGTTATACAAAGCCATTATCACTTACCAACCTGTGAATGCACTGTTGGAAGTTCGCAATGATCCCTTCTGGCGGTGGTTTATTTTCAAGTGGGTTTCCAAAAAAAGACTGTGTCAGACTCCTTTTTAGCGCAGGTTGTCATACTGTGGGAATAAGCCTACGTTGTGCATCGCAATTTGGTTTCTAGAAGCATCACAGCCACGGTGAGGACGTAAATCACTAAGGGGAACCTGACTTGTTAATTTTATGAAAATCGTTATGTTGTTCTATTCTTACCTTCTCCAAGGCTGTTTTAAACATTCCCTTAGCAGTTTTCTTCCGATCTTTCTACTCTTAAAGTTATAAATAATGTAAGTAGTTCTTTGTATCACTCAGAATTTTTCAATAATCCATTATTCTCCCCTCAGTTCACAACCTCTATGAGTGCAGCAAAGCTTATAATGACTTTCAATATGATATCACCATGCCGCTTGGAGTTCTCAGTACTTTTCCGTCGTTCTATAGGATTTAAAATTGTACCAAGCATTGCAGAAATTATAAATGCTTTTATTTTAGATTAAGTTACAAACGAACTTTGCACATATTTACCTCTTACTATTGTTGTGCACCGTACTGAAACCTACTTACCAGCACAACTGCTCATTCCACTTTATTTGTATAATAGTTATTTAGTTTGAGTATTTTATTTGCAATAGAGTGATCTTAACTATGCTTTGAAAGAAAAAAACCTGTTGTAATATCTGTATGCACCAAAACGGAAACATTGAAAGGTCGCATTAAAATTCGAGCTAGATAAACTGCTTCCGAGCGAACATCCGTGTAGCTGAGGAGGACGTCGCGGTGCATCATCAATTGATGACGAATAACCAAGGCTGCTAGTCGAAGGTGACCCTCAAGAGAAATTCTGAGAGACTGCATAAGAACTCAAGGTTAACAAATCAACAGTCTTACTCCCCCATATGAAGAACATTAGAAGGGTATGGCGGCTCAATGGTTAATGGCGAATGGATTGAAGAAGAACAAAGAGAACGCAAAATGGGCGTCAGCAGTGCAACAGGTTAGAGCACCCTCTCCAGGATAGAATGGGTTACGGGTTCAAGTCCCATCTGACGCGAAAGTTTTGCACATCACTCCACATCACTGCGGATATCTATAACATCATACCACCACTGGAAGCGGTTAAACAAAAAGAATTCTATTTGAACAAAGAAGACATTGTTGTGAGATGTACATTTTCTTCCTTTTCGCTGGAAACTACTCATTTTTCGATCGCTTTTTGACGAATCATAGAAAGAGGATCTGTATGAGGGCCGATGTTATGATGTTATTCACAGCAGAGGTTGAACAAAGATGAAGCGCGTAGACAATCAGGTTGTACGCCATTCCAATCATGTAACACTTGTCAATGAAAAAGCTACAATCCTCTTGCACGATAAAGTTTAGCCACTCGATACTTAATCACACTCTAGATGTTAGACGAATTGTACCATGAAGCTGCGCCTCATTCAACGTACTCATCGTACCTCTGATGAACCAAAGATGATCGCGGGTTCGAATCATCGACAATAAACTTTGAAAGGATTTAACAAAATGTAACCTGACGGGAATCAGCCCCTGACATCATTGAGAATTTTTGCTGATGGAAAAATAAACTCGCGAAGTAGTTGGTATATAAGAAAATCGAATTATAGAGTGAACACAAGCCGAGAAAAAATGAGAATGTCATTCTACTGTGAATGAGATACAAACTAGTGTCTGGGGCTCGATCGAATCTGTACTCAGGAAACAGTAATTAGTCTCACTAATTAGTCTTACCATGCACCAATACGAAAATAGCTCTCTTCACGAATGTGTTCAAAATTTGAAAAAAAAAATTGTGAGAAGTTACTAACTGTTTTTTTCCATATCCTTGTTCTGATATGAATAAGAAATGATGAGAGTCATATGAAACTCTTTCAGAGTCTTTCTTAGTAAGTAATTTGCTCAGAAAATCTGCTGTGCGTAAGGCGTCACAACCGCGGTAAGTATTTCAAAGGTAACTTTTATTGAGTGGGTAGGCCGAAGGTATGTCACTATTTTTGAAGATATCTTCAAAAAAAATTTTCTTTTTGGTGAGCTACACATTTCATGTAATTTCCTATGTTTTATGAAATTAGGAATTCTATTTTATAAAAAATTATATAAACTATATTTATATTTTTATTAAAAAATATATGAATTAATATTAAAAACTAAAAAAATAAAAATTATGATTTATAAAAATATAATTTTATAAAAGGAATAAGCTTAATGTTACAAAACATAGAATATATCTTCATAAGTTATCACCTATTAGTTAGAAAAAGTAGGTTCATCAAGACTAGGTGCTTCACCTTACGAGGTAATGTGGTCATACAGAACAATTAGCAATGTCTCCATTCAGATACGCATTTGTGAAGAAGATAGCGATTGCTGCTATTCCGGAAAATGATAACACATCTCTTGTTCGCATCACTCGTACTTCTATTCCCAAAAGTTTGTGACTATCTGCGGTGATGATGTGGGTACGCCCTGGTACAAGTATCTCGTTACTCCACTGAGAAAAAAACTTGCCCAACTAGTAAAATAGCAGTCAAATGGGAACTGTAGTCAGGCTGAACAATTCAGAATTACAGGCCATTCATTTGTCCTATACATTTCATACAAAAAGTGACTAATATTGGCGAATTGTCA